TAAATCATTTGTATGTGTGCAGTGCTGACTTAGCTTGTCGCATGTCTTATGCTCTTTGCACCACTCAGGAATTAAATTTTCTTTTCTTTACTGGACTGTCATTATGATCCCTCTCCTGCCTTCATCACAGAGAAGATGGAGAGGAGACTGTGTTAAAGAGTACAGGGTTGTACAAAGTGTCAGCCCACAGGACACAGTGTTCAGAACACAACTGAGTAAGACAGCAACACTTTACCTTAAGGCTGCATACATAAAATTTAGTTAATGCATTGGGTGTTACTAGTGAGACAATATAGAGAAACTAGCGAGTTTTGAATGCTCTGGATTGAGTCTGATTAAAATAATGTGATTTGAAATATCAGACTTTGTTTGATTGATCTGAGAACTGTATAGAGAATGTCTGTTAAATTCCAATTCAGAATTGCATTTGAATTAGGGCTGTCAAATTGATTAATCAATAAGTTTGTTTACATAATAAATGTGTGTGTACTGTGTATATTTACTGTATATAACTTTATATTACTGTATACAATTGTAACAAAGTCCGTAGTCACGGGAAGAAGGAGGCGGGAACCAGCGAACATTTAAAGACTTTAATAAAATAAACAAACACAAAATGAAATCCAGGCCTGGTCCTCTCTTGTCCAACACTGTCGTCACTCCTCCTTTTATCCTTCTGGAGCTCCTCCGTGGGACTCGAGACCAGTGAGTGGCGCAGGTGTCGCGCATTAGCATTTACTCCACCGGCCTCGCTCCGTTCCCACAGCTCTCGGCCCGCCCCTCTCGTCACAACAATATATAGGATTTATATGTATAAATATAAATCATATATAAATATCTGTATAGATATATATATATACTGTATATGTGAAGGTCTCTGGAATTGTCAGTCGGCAGTAAACAAAGCAGATTTCATTACATCTATTTCTAGTCATTCAAGACTAAGCCTCATGGTCCTGACAGAGACCTGGATCAAACCAGAGGACACTGCTACTCCTGCAGCACTCTCCAATAATTTCTCATTTTCCCACACTCCCCGTCTAACTGGAAGAGGTGGAGGTACTGGTCTGCTTATCTCTAATGATTGGAAATGTATTCCTTTACCTTCTCTGGGTATTAGTAGCTCCTTTGAATCACATTCAGTCACCATTACCCACCCTTTTAAAATCCATTTTGTAGTTGTTTATCAACCCCCAGGACCACAAGGTAACTTCTTGTATGAATTTGATGTGCTGCTCTCAACCTTTCCTGAGGATGGTACTCCCCTAGTTATGCTTGGAGACTTCAACAGCCCCCTAGATAAACCTCAGGCTGCAGACTTCCACACTCTGCTTGCCTCTTTTGATCTCAAGAGAGTGTTAACTACAGCTACTCACAAATCAGGCAACCAACTGGACCTT